ATTTTATAGCTGGAATCTTATGCAATACTTAATAAAGATCTTATTTTATTCTTAGATCCCTGATCTTGCTTAGTAATAGATATTTGATTAAGATCAAAAAATTACAATACCTTTGCCTTGTTAGATTTAAGAGCTTTAGCTTGTTTTATAAACAAAGACTCTATTAAAATATAAAAAAATACCCTTAATGAAGAAAACTAAGTTAATACATGTTAAAGTCATAGATAATTGTTTGTTGACTTCTTAAGATGTCATCTATGATTTTTTTAATAAATATAGTAATTAATGTTCATAATAATTTAATGATATTTAATATTATTATATCTTTCTTAAATTCAATTATTTTAGGTTTATCATGACTAAAAAAAATATAATCTCCAAATAGATTAGATTATTTAACATCTTGTTTTTTTTCATAACATTACTTGAACTTCTATTATTGAAGTAAAAATAATATATTGATATAAATTTGGCCAACAACTTTATATGCCATTTAAAATCTCTAATAAGAGCTTCTATGTTATTTATAAAGAAAAAAGTCAAACCACTATAGATATTTATAGACAATCAAGGATTTAATAAGATTACTATAAAAAATAAGTATCATCTATCTTTGATTTCAAGACTTCATAATCACTTGAATCAAGCAAAGATTTATACAAAAATAATCTAAAAGAAGCATAATATTTTATATGCATCAAAGAAAGAAATGAATAAAAAACTTTAATTTTGAAATATATATGGGTATTTTAAATATAATTTCATACTTTTCAAATTCCAAAATTTATTAGCTTCTTTTTAATATCTAATGAATGATTTTATTTGATATTTTTTAAATGGTTGAGTGTTTTTTTTTTTTTTTTTTTTTTTTTTTTTTTTAAATGAAAAAGATATTATAATATATTCTAAAAATATAAAAGAGTATGAATTACATGTTTATTATGTATTAGAAAAAATTAGAGATGCAATGCAATATATGAAGATAATAAAGTATATATTTCACATAACTCAAGTTAACTTTTTAAAATATATCATTTCAAGTAAAGATCTAATAATAGATTCTAAAATAGTTTAAATTATCATAAATTAGAATATTTTAAGAAAAAAAGAGATGTTAAATATTTTTTGATACATTCTAATTAATATCTAAATTTTATTAAGAAATTTTATCAAATTGCAGCTTTACTTATATGTTTGACTTATAAAGACAAATTTGAGTCAAATAAAGAAGTTGAAGTATTATTTGAAGCATTGAATGCAATTCTTTTTTTATTTTTTTACTAATTTTGTATTACAATAAAATTTTAAGGTATTTTTAATGAAATTAAATGCATCAAACTTTATTTTAATTGTAATATTATTACAAATGAGTAAAAATAACAAAATTTATCTTACGGCTTTTTATTTAAGAAATTTTCTTAATAGCTAAGATTAATTATAAGATTCATAACAATAAAATTCTTGAATTTGTAGATTCATTTAAAAAATGATGCCATTATCTATAAAGCGCTTCTATTTCAATGATTGTTATTTATATATCACAAGAGCTTCAAGCATTTTATACTAGCACATGTTTTTAGTTGTTGCTTGGCTTGTAGGATCATATCTTTGTAAAGATTTGAATTCAAGATCATATATTGAGTAGAAAAACAACAAGATTTGTCAACCATCCTTTTAGACATTCTTAGCTTGTACTAATAGAAAAAGATGTTGTTTTTAATCAACAACTAATTATTTCTTAGAAATCAAAGAAATTTCATCTTTGAGCTATAAAATCAACTTTTATCATTGATTTTTTAAATAAAATAAAATAAAATAAAATATATCTTCAAATCTTTATATTTATGATATTAAAAATAATATATCTAAATCTCATAATTCTTTTAAGTTTTAGTTCAAAAACAACCTACTCTATTTTGAGGAACACTTATATATTCTAAAAAATGAAGCACAACTATGTGCTCTTTAAGCTTGCCATGATTTTTTAACTATAAGATATTTTGGATTTAATAAGACTTTAGAATTAACATCACAAAATTTTATATAGCTTCAAATATAAAAGACAATTAAAGACTTTGAATAATCATGTCATATTTATTCAATATCAAAAACTGCTTGTCATTGACCTTATGGACTTCTTCTACCATTGCTTATATCAAAACAATTATGATCTTTTGTTTTTATAGATTCTATTATGGATCATTCAATCTCAAATTTTTATGATTCTATATGTGTGATAGTAGATTGTTTTACCAATAAAGCATATTTTATTTAATGAACAAAAATTATTATGAGTAAAAAAATTGCTAAAATTTTCTTTGATAATACTTATTATTATTATGGATTGCAAAGGAATATTATATTAGATATATGAATTCAATTTGTATTATGATTTTGGTGAACTCTTTTTAAGATATTAAAGGTGGATATATAACTATCTTTGATTTTTCATCCTCAAACTAATAAACAAATGAAATAGATGAACCAAGTTTTAGAATAAAATTTGAAATATAATATTAATTACCATAAAGATGATTAAACAATTCTTTTGCTATTAATAAAATTTGTTAATTATAGAATAATATATTCTTTTATTCAACAAATAGCCATTTATACTAATTATGATTATTATCTATAATTTGATATTTTTAATTTATCAACAGTTGATAATCTTATGGTATAGATTTAGAAAATTATTTAATATTCTTATAATAATGAAGGCACATTTACAAAAAGCTCAAAAACAACAAAAGATCAAAATAAATGTCTATCATAAGAAACAACTTGAATTCCATATTGGCAATAAAATGTGGTAATTTTATTGTAATATCAAGATTATTTGGCTTTATGATAAGTTAAATTATGGTGACTATTTTTTATTCGTAAATAAATCAATCTAGTTGCATGTTGATTACACCTACCAAAGTTTATAAAGATCCATCATGTAATCTACGTATTTCTTTTTAAGCTATACAAAATAGTGGATAAACCAAAAAGAAGAAAAATACCACCTCTTCCTATAAAATTAGATAATAATCAATAGTTTGAGATAGAAGAAGCCTCAGATTCAAAGCAACTCAAAAATATGTTAGAATATTTTATACATTTATATGGACATGATATTAGTTAAACTACATGGGAGCCATCTATGAATCTTTTAAATAAAACAAAGAATGTTGATGCATTTCATTGATGACAATTATTGAAATAAAGATAAAGAGTCAAGGTTTTTTTTTTTTTTTTTTTTTTTTTTTTTTTTACTTTAAATCAAAGCAAGTTTAATACATATTGGATTTTATTATTTTTCCTTATTTATAGTTTCTTTGTATTTGTGGCACTAAAGAGATGGAGAATTAATAACCAATAGATTTAACTTAGAAGTTATTGTTTGTTGAATTACTAGATAAGGAATTGACATTGCTACAACCTTCATAACGACGTAATAAATATAAAGTTTCTCAAGAACAACATATACTTTCTTAAATAAATGGTGAGATACATTGTGTTTAGTATCACGTCCTTAGAAGAAACTTTGAAAGCTTGGTGATATTATTGGAGAAAATAACTACTATCTCAAGGAAGTAGCAATGGTATAGCCTTCTTGTTTTTGACAATAGCCATTTAATTTTAATATCATACCATCTTTAATTAATTAGCTATTCTTTTTTATTGACATAAGAATTTATTGATTCTTTTATTCTTTGTGATTCATATCTTTGATACCTACTTAATATTGTATTTCTTTTATATAAAAGATGGTTCATATGCAATTAATACTATTTTGTTTTTTTGAATAAGTGACTCAAATTTCTTAAAAGATATATTCTATGAAATATAAACTAAGAAGCAAAGAATTGAGATAGTTTATATTTTAGACATTATTTTACTTTAAAATAATATATAATATGTGCTTTACAATATATTTTGTTAGTTTGTAGTTGTATATATATATATATATATATTTATACATACATATACACACATACATACACATGTTTAATGAAACAATAATATATATACATATATATATATATATATATATATATATATATATACAATATAGAAATGATTTTAAGAACATTGAAACATTTCAATAATAATTTAAAACTTAGTATATACATTGATAAAATATTTATTTTAGATTTTTTTTTCCCGAATCTAATGGATAAAAAAACAAATGTGATAATTTGTTTGTATAACTCACACGACACAATGAGTAGACAATAGTAATAATAATAGTAATGAATGATCTGCTAGCATTATAACCGACTCCTGGATTAAGATTGTGTAGCAAGAGAGATCAGGAATATATTTACCAACCATGATTGATAGATGGATTGGAAAACCATTTTATTTCCCACATCAGGTCACACTGCGACTCACGTGAAGGAGGAGGCAAACACAGAAAATTAGGGCGGAAAGACCACAAAGACAAGGAAAGGCAAGGGAACTCAGTGGGAAGGGGGGGGGGGGGGGTCGGCAAAGAGGCAGGGCGAGGTTGCTTACAATAGAACGGGGCTGGACTGGAGTGGGAGTTGCCGGGTTTTGTCGAGCTATTTCCAGCTCGAAGGTCGCGGGCAGCGCAATCCGATGCCGAACCCCATGGCTAAAGAGAAGCGGCGTCACGCAGGAGGAATAGGAGGAGGAGGGTGATGATGAGCCAGGACCATGACCACCTCGACAACGACGAAAAACGACGAGGAGGAGGAGATCGAGGACGACGTTGAGGCCTAATGGGGGCTAGACTGGGTTGAATGATTCCCATGAATTACTACTGGTCGTACCGGATCCCACCGGCTTCCGTTCGTCTCATTGTCAATCCCTGGCGCTGCTGTATTCATGGCAATGATGCCCTTATGATACCCTGACCCACGCTGCGATAGATCCCAAGGGTGTTCTCCTTGTCAGCGCTCACTTGGCCTGCCTGGACGGCGATGCAGTCACCACGGTGGCCACAACACTGGTCGTGAGTGAGAATAGTAGATCCTTGATAAATTTACACTGCCGCATTGGGTGCGGTGAGGATGACGGATTCGGTCGCAGGGAGAGGAGGGAAGCAAGACGAAGAGACGGAGTGAGAGAGAGAGAGTAAGAGAGAGAGAGTAAGAGAGAGAGCAAGTGTCTAGTATCTGTCTTTTCGACGTAGGCCATTTGTGGGTAGCGAGAGTGTGGGAATTGGGTTTGGCGTGATTGCGTCGATTAGTTGCAGCGTTGGAAGGGATTTTGTGAGTTGACGACAGCTTCCTGTGGTGTGCTGTGGCGAGCAGAGAGGGCTCAGGGACACAGGAAATTGGGTTCACGTGTCTGTTGGTGTGGTTTTGGTGACTGACTGACACCTCCATGCCTCCCACCCCCAAGCCACCTTAGAAGTGGGCGAGTGCTGTACCTACTACCCCCCGTTGTTGTTTTCTCTGGGTTTGCGGGTGTAGTTTTGTTCAACGCGCAGAGGTGCCAACTTGTTGGGTTTGTGTGTTTCCACCGCCTATACGAGCACAGCCCGACGAACCGTCTCGTTCTTTGGTGCGTGTACCAAGTGATCCTTGGTACGCAGTGCGGCTGAAGGTGGTTTCTGTCTCGATGTGGGATTGGGTAGAATGCCCTTTGCACGAAACTTGTTCGGAATTTCGCTACCTTCTGCAGTAGAAGTCTAGAGACGATATGCTCTTCCCGTCGTTCAGGAAGTGAGCTTCTTACCCTTGTTTTCGGCAATGCTAGGTGGTTAGAGTGCGCATTTTCTTGGAGACGAAGTTTCCTCTGGATGCTTGGCGACAGTGTTTCTATTTTTCTTTCGAAACGTGAGTGGATAGTGAGATGTGTGGTGATTTTGCACTGGTGTTTCGTACTCGAGCAATCCACAAGGCACTCAGGTAGTGAGATTTTGTTGACCGTGTTTGTCTCAGGATTGTTCTGGAGCGATTTCTCTGATTTAGTATTCCAAGTAGATGGTTTCTTGTGAGACTTGGAGCTCAAATCTGTCAACATTTCGGTCAGGGGTAGGCTTGACGTGACAATCAATCTTGTTTCAGGGAATGCAGCAGATATGGCTGATAGAAGTTTACGGTTTACCTGTTTGCAATGAGAGAAACGTTGAGACCGGTGAGTAGAACTGCAGCGGACTGACCTCTGGTATGGCCATTTTGACTCGTCACGCGGTGGAGGCTTTCTCATCCGTTGATGCGTACTGCGTGGGCTCAAGATGCCCCCTCGTCAGAAGCAATCGGTCTGTGCTAGACGTTGACGGCCCCATGTACCGACCTCAGAGTCACGCTTCCAGTCCCGTCAAAAAGAAATCAAGCGCTCGGGCGAGCTCCTTCGAAAATAAGGGCCAGACCTGGTTAGTTAACCCTCTCTATCATCAAACGCAGTCTGCTCCGTATCGCTAGAATCAGGAAGGCGCTGTGTTGAAATTAGCTTACGTTGTTGTTATTTCGCGGCCACATTGGTCCCTTAGTGCTTTCAGCATTGGTTTCAGGAAAACTTCACCAGTTTGATTTAGAGGTTATCACTATCAGCAAATTTGAGTGCGAAATTCTAGAACGACTGGCCACCGCAGCCCGCGATCCTTTACTTATTTGCTAGATTGGTTTAGAGGCTTGTTATGATTTTTGGACTTTGAGCCAAATTTTCAATTGATTCTAGCTTGAAGAAGAAACGATTCGCTGTCTGGTGGGAAGTTTGTTACGGTCATCGCCACACAACCACCCCCCCCAATATTCACCTGTCTCAATTTTTCTGGTTATCCGTGGAAATGTGAGTAGTGGACGGTGGCGGGAGCTATCGATTCAAGCCGATATTTTAGAGCCGTTATGTCCACGAAGGCTACTTGGCGATCGATGCAAAATTTTGGTTGCAGGAACCTGGCATAGCCATCCGTTAGTGTTGAGTCTATAATGACAGTTTAGCTTCCTTTCTGTCGTTTTGACAGGTTGTTTCTTATATATTCTTACATTTTTATAACTTCTGCTGCAGGGTCGCAGCTACGATGTTGCAGAGTGATCTTCTGGTGGAGGTAGCGGATATGAGCTTCCATCTGCACAAGGTACAACAGTGTAAAAACCCTTTTATCCTTTATCAATTCGTACGAGTGAGCAAGCTTCCAGCCTTGGACCTATTCATTTTTCTCTAATAGGTTTGGTAAAGCTACGCTAAGGTGGAGGGAATGTCTGGGACTTGTCTCTGCCCGTCTTACTGAATTGCCAACAGATAGCTACATGTAAGATCGTTTTGCATTAATTATCTACTTGTTTATTTTTGATTTTTTTGTGCAGTTTCCACTGCTGTCCCGGAGTGGCCGGTTGAATCGCTTGGTTTTCGAATCACGTGACACTGAGAAAGATCATATCAAACTAGACAACATGCCTGGGGGTCCTGCAGCGTTCGAGCTGGCAATGAAGTTTTGCTACGGCATTCCCATCATGATCAATAGTTCCAACGTGGCTGCTCTCCGTTGCGCTGCTGAGTATCTAGAAATGACTGAAGATCTTGAACAAGATAATCTTGTCTCAAAGACTGAGGATTTTTTGAGCTCTGAAATTCTTACCTCTTGGACAGATTCCATCACAGTGTTGAAAGCTTGTGACACATTATCACCTTGGGCTGAAAATTTGCAAATTGTAAAGATGTGCAGCGAGTCTATCGCGTGGAAAGCTTGTACTGACCCACGCGGGATTAGATGGTCTTACTCCAGTGCTGGTGAGTCTCCAAATCTTTCTCCACCATCGGAAGGATCCGCCAAGAGTAGCACTTCATCGAAAGGACCTTCTCAAGACTGGTGGTTTTCCGATGTTGCCGAACTCAGTTTGAAGGCCTTTAAGGTGGTCATGAATGCGATCAAAGCGAAGGGAATGAGGCACGATATGATGGGGTCTGCTATTTTCTTCTACGCTCACAGATGGCTGCCGAGTCTGTCTGCTTTGGACAACCTGGTATCGCCTCTGTTGAGAGAAAGCCCACTTATGAAAGATAAGAAGAACAAAGTCTCCACCAGCTGTAAAAGCGAAAATAGCTATGTTGAGGGTCCAGGGGCAAGTTTTATGAACGATGCAAATGGAGACGTGGCACCCCAAGTTTTCGAGCGTGAGATTTTGGAAGAAATAGTTGGCATCTTGCCTTCCCAAAAAGATACGGTCCCAGTGAGTTGTTTGCTGCGGTTGCTGCGGGTTGCTATCATGGTGGACGTGAGTGCTGGCTGCAGGAAAGAGCTCGAGAAAAGGTCTGGGACACAGTTGGATCAGGCAACTTTGAGCGATCTCTTGATCCCATCCTGTGCTTCCCAAAGTGATTTGGTTTATGACGTTGGAACTATTCATCGGTGCTTGGATCACTTTTTGGTTCAGGTACTGATATTCCAGTTCAAATTTTTATCCTCGTTACAAATACCTGTGCCTAGAAAAGAGACCCAAGATCCAGAGAAACCATATTCATGAATGCAGAAAACTTGCCCAGCATTTTCGACCCTAACATGTGATTGGCTAATCATTTAGAGCAGTTTCTTATAATTGTGTGCTGTTAGGTTCTAGCTCTTTGATGCGGAAACAATAATTTTTGGGTGCAGGATCATATCCAAATAAGCTCTCAAAAGGAAGTGCCAATGAGCTCTAGTAGAGACAAGAATGGCGATATGTACTGTACTTCTCATCTGAGACCGCCTGTCGGTCCTCATACTGCGAAGATTAAAGTGGCGAAGCTCATAGACAGCTACCTCGCAGAACTTGCGAGAGACAGCAATTTAACTTTCTCGAAGTTCCAAGCGCTTGCAGAGGCTCTCCCGGAGTTCTCTCGAATTACAGACGATGGCTTATACCGCGCGATTGATACATATCTTAAGGTATGTTCTGTCCTTATCTATGTCACGTCTATGATACCAAGAGTGTATTTTTATATCTTCATTTTAATCTTGCACTTCCAAAGCTTCAGCTTTGATCAAATAAAGAGTCCATTCCAATATTTTGTACAGGCGCATCCAGGTTTAAGCGAGCATGAGCGAAAAAAGCTGTGTCGAATGATGGACTGTCAACGACTTTCGCTAGAAGCGTGCATGCATGCTGCGCAAAATGAACGCCTCCCGCTTAGGATAGTTGTTCAAGTACGTTCCTTACGCTAAGCCATCAACAATGTTAATTACTTCGTTAAGTGACCTGTATCACTGAAGCTGAGCGAGCAGGCGTGTCAATCGTAAAGCAGCGATTGTCTACGATTTAAACAACATAGTCGAATTTTCAAAGCTGGTTTTGTCTCTTGGAAGTGAAAAATGATGCTAACAGAACGAAACGTTTTTTCTCAAAGGTACTATTTAGTGAACAAATGAAACTGCGGAACGCAATTTCTGGTAACACTGCTGCACGTGCGGAGCGGGCTCCAGACTCTCCAATGCAACAAAGACTGTCCCCTAGCCCTGCTGCCTCGGCAGTCTGGCCGATTCTCCATCCTCAAGACGGCACGAACTCCCAGATTGATGTTAGAGCTCTTCAATATGATGTCATGTTTATGAAGGCCAAATTCGCAGAGTTGCAGAAGGATTATACACTAGTAACTCAACAGGTACACTTTCTTCCCTATGACCAGCTATTCGAAAATGTTCGTGCATCTTCTGTAGTGAAAACGGATTACAGAGTAACTTGAGACACCTCCAGAAAGATAGGTGATGGTTTTGTGTGCATGTGTGGACAGGTGGAGAAGTTATCGAAACAAAAAGGCTCATGGGTAAAGCGTTTGTTTCAGTCCAAGGAAACGGTGGAGAGTAGATCATCACCCTCACACCCGAGGTGGAGTCGACCTTGGAGAAACTCTATCTCATAGTCCAACCACAACTCGTGCTAACAGATCCCTGTACAATTGCCTACTTTATCGGGAATCCTTTCCAACGTCATGAAGGAAGAGCGTGTATTGAGAGAATGCTTGTACTTTTAAGCGTTAGTGTATCAAACTAACCGCCGATGCATAGAACTGACCCACGATGGCGTCGTGACGAGGGGTCCATATAGTGCACAATCAAGCTCCAGTAGTTACGGCATCGAGGACACAAATCCTACGGTACTTGAGGTCGAAGTAAGCTGTCTGTGGAGGACATACCCAGCAGTATGCGCAGCAGCAGCAGCAGCAGCAGCATTGTAAGACCACCAAAGAAATCACACTGGGGTGGGGACCCGCGAGTTGTTTCTGGTATGCGGTGGAGTTGTCGTTTCCGGATGTGTTTGGAAGAGTAGAAAGAATCGCATTTTGTACAATATTCAACAAGTGGAGATTACTCGAGCGGCGAACCTCCCCAACTCATAATTTCATTTTCCAACGCTCGGCTGATAGTTCTTCGTTGCATTTGACTCGATGGATCGGAGACTGGGTGGGTGAACACGTCAGCGAGAAGTTGTGACAGAGCTATTTGTTTTGTGTCCGGCTATCAATAACTTTACCCATTCGTTTAGAGTTTTTGCTCTTGCATCAAAGATCTCAGTAGCTGCCAGTTTATTGATTCACTTGAGCAATGGAATGAAGCCACTAGAATCCAAGTCTTGAAGCATATGGCTCAGAACCTGTGAGTTGATGTTAATGATCAAGCATTGAAATTAAGGTCCTCACTTGCATGGTTTGAGTGTTATGGATCATTAATGAGTTGAAATTTGATGGGATACTAAATTTGTTGGGAGAAAAAAGCTATTAAAGTCTAGTAGAATAATTCTTCAAAATGGAAAGAATGGAAAAGGTATTGGAAGTCCCTGAGAATGAATATTTGAAATTGATGGTATTTCAAATGAATAGTTTGTACAAGTTCTAAAATCTTCAATATGTTGAAAATGGGAATCCAAGGATAATGGGAGTATTCTCATGGAAGGTAGTCTAACTGTAAGAATATTTTGTGTAATGGTGCATAATAACATTTTACAATAATTCCACTTCTTACAATCTTCTTTATTTTACAATAATTCCACTTCTTACAACCTTCTTTATGTAGGCAACCCCTCTAATCATACCAACAACCCTTATATTTTTAGTTCTAGAAGTAAACTATATAAATATTTATTTAACATAGTACCCTATTTCTAGTGCACTACTTGCCTATTGCTTGAGGAGTAGGCAAGTAATCTTTTGCTTCAAACTCAACTTCCACAAATGTTAATTCATTGGACAATATTTATTTGTAGGTTAAGTCTAGGAATTTATTTGTAGGATTTTTTTTGTTTCGTTGTTTTTGTTTTTGTATGTTTCAAAAGTAATATTTTTACTATTTTTTAAAAAACAATTGGTCTAAATTTAATATAAATTTTATTTAAAAATATAAAATTTAAATATTTTGCATAGATAAAATATTTTTACTTGATCATTTATTATTAGTAGTATTTAAAAATATTTTATTAGTGATACTTTGAATACTCAATTAAAGAGAATTAATTCCCATGTTTGATTTTTTATATATTAGAAATTATGCATCAAAATAATTTACTTTAAAATTTGTAAACCTATGAAATAAACCAAATCAAATAGTTTGGTTTAGAAATTTACTAGTATTATAATTTATATTTAATTTGGTTTAACATGTATCTAAATTAGTTTCAAAATAGTTCCAAATTAATTCCAAATTGATTTGGGCTTTAGAGCTATATTGTGGCAAAACCTACAAAGTTACTTGTAATCATGGCTTGTGCAATAGTAGACTTCATTATTTATATTTTACTATGCTTTTTTAGATATCTTCTACTTATTGGTTTACTTCTCTTACTCTATTCTTTAGTAATCTAAGTCTTACTACAAGTTTTTTATCACATATCTCAATTCTTTTGCATTTATTAGCTCCATTGCAATTCTTAACCAACTTGAAGTTGTCAAGCAAGTCCTTATAGTCATATCATATTCCTTGCAATGATTTACAAAGATAATTTATAATTTGCTGGTTGTTGATAATTTTTGCCAATAGTTGGTAGTATTTTGTAATTATTGGTAATTTTTTATTTGGATTTTATTAGCCTTTAATTTGATTCTAAATTTCTTCTCTTAACTTTGCAACAATTCCTTGACCTTTTTGTCTTATTTTTAATTGATTTATTTTTTATTTTTTATTTTTTTACTTATTTTGACAATTAATAGTTAAGATTTCTAAATCTTTGAGCTAAAATTAGACATAATGCCTTCCATATGCACCATTTTTATAGATTTAAATCTTATTACTTTTTTCATTGAAAATTGTTACTTAAAATTTTAAATATTATCTAGATAAAAAAAAAATAGTATAATGGTACTTATTTTAACTAAAAAAATATTTTTTTATTAAAAATATAAATTATATAATAAGCATATTTAAGATTTAATAAAATTATTATTATAAACTTTGCATGTGGTGAAGGTAATTAGAATATTATTCGACGAAGTATAATTACTTAAGTAATAGAAACTTACGCACCAAAATTTGCAATTTTTATTAACAAAATAACTACTAAAAATTTAGACTTGAAATAAAAGTGGTATAATATGTTGCAAATATTGCCACTAAAAATGGTAAAATAATTTATATTTAGATACTACTAATACCTATTTATTGGCCAAATATAAAATTATTAATAAATATCTTAATTAGCATCTTAAAACAAGACAAACTTCTATTAGATATACTTAATAATTTAATTGTTATTAGATAATATATTCAAAAAAGTTCTACATTTAAAATTTATTATAATATTAAATAGAAATATATTTTTTTAATCAAAAGGATATATTTTAATTTCATATTATTGTATTATGTGAAGTCTTGCTTGAGAATGCTGTAGGAACTTGGCTAAAAAAGGTAAATTAGAAATTATAACAACAAGATCCTAATAACTCTAATAGAATCCTAAACAAACTCCAATTAAGCCTTAACAATCATAATCAAAATTTTATAAAATTCAAGAGAAGTCTTAAAGAAATTACAAAAGAATCATAAAAAAATCATAAATTAATCTAAAGAAAAGAAAAGAAAAGAAAAGATAACTAAAGAAATAAAAAATAAATTCTAAATAATACTAAAAATAAAAATCTAAATAAAACCTAAATAATTCTTAATTAAATTCTAATGTAGCTCTAAAAAAATCCTAAACAAAATCTTAAAAAATTCTATTTAAATCCTAATATAGCTCTAAAAAAATCCTAAACAAAATCTTAAAAAATTCTAATTAAATCCTAATATAGTTCTAAAAAAATCCTAAAAAAATTCTAATGAAATCCTTAATAAATTCTAATAAAATTCTAAAAAATCCTAATAAAATCCTAAAGTGATTCTAAATAAAATCCTAATAAACCATAACCAAATTCTTATAGGTATTTTGAAACCCCATTTGATTAAACAACTGATTTCAACTAAAAAAAATACTCACATTTTAACTTTTAAGCAAAAATCAAGTACATAAAGTTTGAGAAAAATCAAACTTATCAATTGAAAGAAAGAACTGCTAATACTCTTGGATGTTTGTCATCCTCCTTCTCTAATATAAATGTTGATCTTCATATAATAATTACTCTTTGTTTAATTGTTCAATTGCTCTCTAAATTGGTAGAAATGTAGATATCTAAGCCTAAAATGTTCTCACAAATGTTTGCTTTAATTCACTTAGCACAATTCTCAAGACTATAGAAAAACTCACTAATCCTAAAATTCAAATATCTGAGACCCTAATCCAATAAAACTTCGATATCCTTCAATCTATTTATTCAATTGACTTCATTTTTGCAAAATATCTTTAAAACAAGGAGAATAACAAATTCACAAACTTTCATCTATAACTCGTTTTAGTATCTTCAAATTCCTCAAATTTACAAGTTTTTTTTTTTTTTTTTTTTTTTTTTTTTTTTAAAAATCCAAAATCCCTTAACACATCTCTCACTTTAAAAAGCTCTCCAAAACTTAATATGCATCCAAATTACTTGGATTCAATGCTAAAACAATCCTTCTAAAGTTTGCACTCAAATCCCATTCTCCAATGAACCAAAGAACCTTGGAATTACCATAGGTTTGCAACTTTGTGCCTTAGGATTTGATTTTGATCCTAATTCATAACTAGTTCTCTTTAGATATTAATTCTTTGTTTCTTAATTTCTACCATAAATTATTTCTAACTTCTTTCTTAAGATGCCTATATTATTTATTTTTCTACTATACTTAGTTTTTCCTTATTTATAGTTGTATAGAATAAATAGATTTTTTTTTTAAAAAAGCAACATTAACACTATAAGTTTTTATTCCCTATTTTTTACTCATGTTTTGATACTATATATCTTTCAACTAGACTCTTCTATAATAGAATCTTTATTTTTAACTTTCACCATATAGTCATACTACAATACAACAATGTCAAAAGAAATCATCTTTTGTGAACATGTTTTTGTTTTATATATAAATAAATTTCGAAGTATTTATGTACAATTACACAAAGAATTCTTAAAACATGTTTTATTTTATGATAATTGTTGTTGAATACTTCTAATCTATCAGATTAAGTTTAATAAGTTGTTTTTCTAGATGGTTGTATAAATTTTTCTAATAGAACATGTTTAATCTAATATTATAATAATTAACAAAGTTTTAAAATTTTCTTGTATAAGGTGTTTTACAAGAGTCTATTCTAATTATGTAATTCAAAATTGTATGATACTTTAATTAATTGATCTTATAGATGAATGTCTAAATATATTTTTATACACACCATAAACCATATTGATCACATATACACCATTTTACTACTAGCAAAGATGCTACATAAAAAAAATCAATATGTAATTATAATAATAATAATAATAATAATAATTTTGTATTTTTTTTGCTAGTACCAAAAAGATAATCTTTAAATTATATAAAGAAATTTAATTAAATAGCTTTAAATAAATCTTACTATTAAAGTTAGTCAAGTCTTATTCCTTATTATATATATTAGGTAAACTTCTTGTCAAGTTTAATAAAATTAGCTTTATTGCTAAGCACTAGCCAATTATCAAAGATCCAAGAAGAGACTCTATATTCATTAATTGATTTAAGACCAATGAAGAATATATCAAATTAAATGCCAATTTTATTAAAAAGAGTGAAACTAAGATTTGAGATTCTTTTTATCTCCACCATCATGCATGTAAATTTTCTAATATTTTATTAGAATTATTCAAAGAACACCACAAAATTTACACATTTTGATAATTTGGTGCAAGGTGGTGCAATCAATATAAATATGACTATAAATGTCATTTCTATCATTTGTAAGTTCTTAATAAGTATGCTTTTAGCAACATCTACAATAAGGATAAAATCAATCTTTTTTTTTATTAGATATTCATGAATTTAATGATTTGGTTTATATTAAAGCATTTTCCCACTATTTAATGGTAATTTTTTTGTTCTTGACTAACAATGTTTTTACAAACAAAGATAACTTAGATATTATTTTTAAAGTGGCTAAAAGAATATTACCTTTATATTTTTGGATATAAGATTCTTTTCAGTTTGAATAATTATAATATTAACATTCTTCTTAAGTTGCTTTTATATCACATGTACTTTAGGAGTACCATAATATTATACTTTAAAAAATAAAACCTTAAAGATTTAATTTTTTATAATATTTTCATTATCTACAATCTCAAGATGTACTATCTTTGTTGCTTTAGTTGTCTTGTCTTCCAATGTCTGAAAGAGAATGTAAAAAACCTTGAAAGAGTTAACATCCTTAATGTAATTTAGATGGTTCTTTTAATCTTGAGATCAAATGTTGAATCAATTACCATTTTAAACTACTTTCTTCATTATTATATTTTTACTTTAAAACAAATTATTGCAAATATTAGATTGGTTTATTTTATTTTATTTTTGATAGAAAAAATCACTGTAATTATTTTCATGGTTTCTTCTAAGAAATCAAAGAATTGTCTTACATTGATTTTATAACTAAGTAGAATTTAATGTATTTTGTAGAAATTAGAGAAATATAACCTAACAAGCTCAACAATTGGATTGTATAAGATAATATTATTGTATTGTTGATCTACAGGAAAAATTGACTACAAATAGATCAAAAAATAGATGCAAATATTACATATTAACATGAATTGTGACATAGACTTATATCAAAATTGTTCTTAGTAGTTTATACAACAAAAAATCTAATTTAGAAATTTTAATTTTGTTTTGTTTGGTTTGAAGATCACTTTAAGTAAATCAATCCATATCAAACTTGCCAATATCTAATTTGAATATTACTATTGAATGATAATTGTAGATTAATTTTTGTATTAATAATACTAATAATTTATAAAATCAAAATATGTATGTATTTAAAGATGTATTTTAAAATAGTTCAAAGTCAAGAACATTAAGCTTGTAATAAGCTTGTAATCTAAAAATTAATAATTAAGAATAAATTGAATTATCTAAAGTCATTTGACTTATAAAATCAATCCTTACAATTAAGTTTTTAAAGAGTAATTTTAATATGTTTGTATGTTGTGTATATTTGTTTAAAAAATATGAGTAAATTATTTTTAGTTTTATACTTGAACTCTATTTCACTAGTTGTTCAAAAAGAAAAACAAAATAATAATTTTTAACAAAATTGTTGTACTTTAAAAATATAAACTGTGGTTGCATTCTAAAATTTCCCTTAATAGTAAAAAAAATCTTACAATTAAATATACACACACACACATACCATTCAAGTTCTGAGATTTCAAAGGAAAAGAAAGGGAGGCACAAAGCGCTCACATGATACAACGGCGAAGGCTTTCCGAGCAACATTCGCCAGCGCGACTCATCCTTCTCTTCGTGTCGGATTCCGATCACTTGCAATCATCGATGATAAGATGATAATCAATCTTCGGCACCAGAAATCAACCCCACACAAGCAATAAAAACAAACAGTAACAGAAATTACAGCTTCGGGCCTGGAATCCGCAGTTGGAAACTGTCTCGAAAGCCACGTCACATCGTGCACTCCACCAGGAAATCGGTTCGTGAGAGTGTTCTTGTCAAAGATTTTCCAAGCAAAAGCTTGCAACGATTGATGTGGGATGGTGGCTGGGATGAGGTGAAGAGTTGCTCTGTGGCAGCGTGTGAACTGCTGATGGGCTGGGAAGGGATCGTGATGTTGAGTCCGTCGATGATGTTCAATAGAGTCGGAGGATATGCCGACGATGCACCAGCGTGGACATAGTTTCTACGACATTGATATATCGCGGACTATTGGTGTTGCTTTTCCAATTGGGTGAGTCAGCTGGTACACTGGCTTCTCCTTTTTATGGAAGATCTTCTTGTGTAGAGAGACAACTCCTCTGTGCTACTCTGTCAATCCATCAAGACGTGGAAATCACGGTCTTTTGGTGTTGGGTTTTGTGATTTGTTGCGGGTTTTCAGTTTTCTTTTTGTTGGTTGTCGATTGTGAGTGTGTTCTGGCTTTGTAGCCTGTGGAATTGTCGGAGGCGTTTGAAGCATTGCTCATGGGTAGTGTGACCACAATGACGTCCGTGGTGCCTGTGAGTTCCCTTCTCCCCCGCCCGAATTTGTGGTCACAAGGCCTCAGAAATGGATCATTCAGCAGTTCGTGCGCGCTTGTGAAGCATCCCCGCTTCAGATTCTCGAAATCCAGCTCAAGAGAACAGCTGATGGGATGGCAAGAAGGCTGCAGAGAGCGAAGAAAAGGGCTCTGTGTGGCGAGCATTAGCGAAAGGGATGGACCGACTTTGGAAGAGGAAGAAGAACGTGCACGGGCTGACGAGAGGACAGGTATGGGAGGGTACAAGCTGAAGGAGAACCCTAAAGTAGTTCAACCGGTGCAGTTGGAGATGGAAACATTGGGTGACATAGTGCGACCGAAGCGTTTTGCCTTCAACTATGGCTTCCAAGCAAAATTTTTGAGGACGGGACCGTCGGTTCCTGGAAACGTCGTCAAATTGGCATTCGAGAATTTTGGGCGCGAATGGAGGGTAATTCCAGCATTTTCATTGTTTGATCAAATTCTATTTGAATTATTTGTTTGTCTCCAAGGTTCTGATGCATCTTTTCACGCAGAGAGAGGCACTCACAGCTAATTTTAAATTCAATTCACATAAAGTGGCAAGACATTGTGGTGAGATGGGGGTACCTGTAATTTTCAGAGTCAGTTTGATCTTGTCGTCAAACCTTTCCGGTTTCGATCTAGGTTTGCAGAATTTCACTAGCGGGTCTCTGTTACATTATTTCTGAATGCTGCACAATGGTGCTGCGAGTGGCTGCGATAGTCGTCGATTCTCAACAAGCAGTTGTCTAGCTACACATTTTGATGTGACGAGCACTGGCCTTGGAAGTCCTGATATTACTGTGAATGCGGTGTATGACAATTTTGGCCAATATAACAGAGGTGGCGTTTAACTCGTGGTACTGTGTCAATGTGAACTGCAGTCATTGCGGCGTACTATCCTGTTTACAGAGCTGAAGAGGATTGATCGTGAGCTCCCTTGTTTCCTCTCATTTTGAAATTCTACTACAAAGCTCCGGATAGAGCTGTAGATGGAATTCTCTGCTAGTGCGGAAAAAAGCTTTTCTTAAATTTTAACACTAACGCGCTTATCCTTCTTGCAGCCTCCAAGTTGAATGGTCCGCTTGAAATCGTCACAGCCTACACCGGGCGTGGTCTTTTCTTGTTTCTCAGAGGCTTGGACAAGTTTCTCACATTGTATGATGGTCTAATGGAGTTGAAACCTCTTGAAACGGTGATCTCTTTACCTCTTAAGTATTATGCTCCTTTATTGCGAAGTCTACTTAAGCAAATCCTGAAAAGAGGCCAGGAGAACTCAATTCTTTACATAGTACACTACTGTAACCCTAGATTGGCAAACAGGTAACAAAAAGCTGCCCATGGTACTGGTAGGCGTTATCATGAGCTGATTGAAACGATTCTTACAACTTCATGACCCTTAATAAGTTATCCAAGTAATATTCTAGTCATCTTGGTTCCCAGACTCTCATGATTGAGGTGATTTTCACAGAATGGAGAAAATCTAGAGCAAGATGAGTTAAGAGCAGCGCTGAAGAAGTTGACCCTGAGTAACCAGGCTGTATGGGATAGAGAAAATGCGCGCCCTCCAGTAGAAGCTCCTTGGTGGATTCTCGGCCCTTACTATCTTCTCTGTCTGGTTCGTAATTGTATCCCTTCCTCCAGAAATAGAACCTGTTGCATGGCCTGTGCAGATCATTGTTAATCATAACATTAAGTTATTTCTCAAGTGCTAATTATTTGTACACACAACTTCTGACCATGTAAGTCATGTACCCTCAAGATTAACAGCAGTTATTAACATCTTCTATTGTTAACTTCACCATTTGTCAGATGCTGGACGTGATCTTTAATGATAGGCCCATCCAACGCTTCTGGTTCTTGGAGACTGTGGCTCGAATGCCTTACTTTTCGTATCCTCTGCAATGTTATTGAGGTTATTATGTGGACTTCATCCTTTCTGTTACACTACGATTTCCATTGTACAGTAGATGTTGGATTGATCATTGGTAATGTTTACCGTACAATTTGACATTTGTAGTCATCTACGGATGCTTAGCATTTTTCAAGTGTTGTTAGATGTCAATCCTTGACACATTTCACAGATACATTTCAATGCTTCATCTATACGAGACTTTGGGATGGTGCGTATTCTTAACTTGGACAGCTGCTGCAGTAGTGGAAGGTTTGACGGGGCATGCAAGTGCACGAGGAAATCCTCTGGAATAGTAGTTGGATGAGCAAGTTTGCCTTCGAATAGTATTCGAATATTGTAAATCTGGTTAGTGGACTTTCAGTTTCATCAGTAAAATTGCGCCGATTTCTTCTTTTCTGTTAACTTCAGGTGGCGCATTGGAGCTGAAGTACGAAAGGTTCACTTTGCAGAGGTAACAATTTCTAAATCGTGTTTGTGTCGGCCTGTTGTACTCGGTGTAACTTATTTCAGCTGTAACTCGATCTTGAGTATCCACTTTTTGAAGCATTTCTCCTGTATCGCGTACAATGCTACATGTGAATATAGTCTCTTCGGAATTGAGACCCAGTTGAATGTGTGGTGAATTTGGTCTGAATAAGAAATTCTGTCTTGTATGAGCAGGAATGGAATGAAATGCACCATTTGCGGATAATGGAGTCCCTTGGAGGAGACTTGGAGTGGGGAGACCGGTTCTTCGCTCAACATGCTGCTTTTTTCTACTATTGGGTTTGTTGCTAACACATTAACAACACGCTATTGATTTGCATACGCAGCTGGTGATCACCTTTTACTCAGATTTGTAGGAAGGACTGGAGAATTCATGCAGCATTTTAATGGACAGTTAGGTAATGAAATTTCCTGTTTTTAATGTCCGTGGATGTGGGTGTGGGCGATAGGTGTTGAACTTGATGTTCTTGATCTCACCGAAAGTGGCATATAATTTCTCCGAGCTCATTGAGATGCATGCTGGTAAGTTAGTCTGCTGTCATGGACTTTCCTACTTGATCAGCTGTTTGTTAAGCTTCTGTATCTATCTCCTCTTTGTATATGTCGAAATCAATATTTTTGAATGACTATTTGGCATGGGACATTATTCTCAAGCGAAGGATATAAGAAGGGGATTATGTTAGTCCCTGTTTTATTTCACATAATTAGGCAACTTTGAAGAAACGTATTTTTGTTGTGTTTCTTTCTGTGTTTTAGTGTGAATTGGAGCTTGTAGAGTGTCGGTAATGAATATAATATTGTCTCTATAGTGGACACGTACGGAGAGTTCGCTGATGCAAATGAGGAGCTGTTGAAAACTCTCCCACCTCCTCCTGCAGCCTTGGAATACTACGAGAGCGAAGATCTTTACATGTAAGCATGTGCTTCACAGGACAATTTGAGTGAAATAGTCTGCAATGCTTGATTTCTGTTTTTTTATAGTTGGATAACCCTACGCAGGCTTCACTTACTTTTGAAATGTTGATTCTGGATTAGATTTGTTTTAGATAACAGAAAGTAAACATTTGCTCCAGCCGACCCATTTCCTATGTACGCTAAATGCAGCGGGACGTGTTTGATTTTGGAATCGCGAAACATGCAGGTACGATGAGTTCCAGACAAGTCAAGCACCTGAGACTCGTCGTCCAAAGATCAACAATTTGTACGATGTCTTCAAAGCTATTAGTGTAAGTGCACATCTACATCCTCGCTGTCCACTGAAGTAGCAACACTTTAATTGCCGAATTTACAATTGCATGTGGCTGTAAATGGCTTTCTTGACTACAACCACCGTTTAGTATGTAATAATACTATAATAACAGTAATAACATTACAATAATAATAATCATATTACAATATAATATAATATTAACATTATTACCATAATGAAAACCACTCCTCTCAAATCCGAGGAAGGGACGTTTTGATGAAATATTGGTTTCTGTTAATCTAGGATTGTGCTTCAAGTTCAGATTTTTATCTATCAAGGTTGAGTAACACTAAAAATACGTTTGGGGTATGCAGGGAGATGAACTAGAGCACGTGAAAACAATGTCAGCATGTCAAACCTTGGACATGCCCATAAAGAGCCCTCATAATCGACGTCAGCAGGACAATGTGACGGCCAGTAAATGATGAATTTTTTTCCTTGGACCATTCCTATCTCGTGAAATCTCAGCATGGCGGCGTCTTAATCTACAACCCGACCTCTGGGTGCAGGCTAGGTAGGAACCTATTTGTGTATGTACTCGTTTACAGAATGATCGCTAAGTAGCTTAAGGCTTAGTTCTCTGTGACCGTTTTGTATGACCAATTTTGACATAGATTTGATATATTTGGCAATATTTGAAGTATTGTTTGACAGGAACAATACTATGTAGGGGCCGTGAGCTTAGCGCCCAGTTTCTTGTATAATAGTTTTGATGATCATCTGTTACAATTTCAGTGGAATGGTGATTGAGTTCTTCGACCAGCTCTTTTTGGTCTGTAATGTACGATTACACTAAGTTGAGATCTTTCTACTGCACTTTCGACCCTGAATGTTACCGTGTTTCTAAACTTTGACAAGGTTGCAGTTAAATCTAAAGGATATATAAAAACTGATTGTCCCAAAAAAGAGAAAAGCCTCTTAGATTACTACCATCGTAATTTATTGTAACCAAATAAATTAAGGTGGAAAAGCATGAAACGAAGAGCTTTCAAAGAATTCTTTTTTGTTTCAACATTGTATTTTGTTGTATTTTGATATATATGTGTGTGTCTGTGTGTGTGTATATTTGTTTTTAATTTAAATAATCCATAAGTTGTACAAATGGTTTGTTTATGTTGGATTATGAACGCACAATAAGCCCATTTTTTGTATTCTGTAAAGGATGCTACGTATTCCTGGGAATGCACAACAATCCTGTGAAATAGGTATAAGGTACCATAAATTCTGGATTTTGACTAGCCTTATCACTCAATTAATTGCAAATATTGACTCCTCATTACAAATATTGATTTTCAGTTTCTGCTCTTTCTCCACCTCTCTTTCGCTGTGGTCGGAGCTCTTTTAGCCAGCCCTCCACCATACAAAGGAGCGGTAAGCTCGGGAACTGGTTGAGGTCTAGACAGTTAATGAATTATTTCCTTGAAGGGTGCTTAACAATGCTTGATTTTGTTCTTGCATGGTTATGCTGGCTGTAGATTACGAGACAGTGATTAGCTGTAGCAATGCGCTGATTGACAAATTTCGAAGCGTTTGTGGCATTGGAAAAAGAAGACCTTGGCATCTACCAATGATGCCAATGGTACATTTGTGGATCATTTGTAATCAAAACCTTCTCTATGTTGGCCGAGAAATAAGTGTTGCAATTAAAGCAAATCATGGCTTCTTAGAGTCTATCTCAAATGCGTCTAAGAGGAGTTGTATTGGCAAGTGCATTAATCAGTTAACACATGAATTAATCAATGATGAGATTGAACATTATTAACGTTTTGATTTTACAAAGAATGTTGGTTTTACAACCAAAATGAAGAGAGAGGAAATGGTCAGATTCAAGCCGAAAGTTAGCAGAACGGAGGATGAAAGCATGAAAGCGGAAGGAGAGCTAGACAAAAGAGCGCCAACGACAGCAGAAAGAGACAGGTGGAGCAGAGTGGACAAAACATCTTAAATTTAATACCTGTAACAAAAAGGAGAGTGCTATGGACTGCTGTGGGTAGTGCATCCACTCCTTAGGACAGTAGATTTAGTGTTTTCGAAAGAAAACAGCCATGCCTAAAACCACGGTATTCTACGATGGTGAAGGACTGAACGCTGGTCGTTGGACTTTCTGGATTGTGTAATTTGCAGTTATGATCCAGAAAGACAGTTTTCGTTTCGAAGAAAATAACAAGATGAGGTACTATGCTCCTGCACACTAATAGATGGATCAATTAAGAGGAGTATCAATGCTTGATTTTAAAAGGAAAAGCCAATCATTACCGCCCATGGTGCTCCGAGGGGGGGGGGGGGATTTACGAGATCAATGTTTGAAGTATAGTCATCAAATACTGCTTGCTAAAAAAATGCTATTTCAGGAGGAAATTACAAAGCAATGTAACCTTCATAAACTGCAACTCCAGACACCCGCTGCCTAGCTTCCACACATGATGATGGAAACCACCCTGCTTGACCTTTGCATTCTCCCTCTGACCAGCCGGATGGGACCACTTGACGCACAACAACATGGTCTCCGACAGATAATGAAAGTTCTCCGTGGCTCTCTGCTTCGAAAGGGTTAAACACTTCCGCAAGGATGTAATTGCTAGATTGGCTGTGTTTGGAATAAGCCGAATTACCCATATTTGCATCCACAAAAATAGGCGCTTCCGCAGCTGCTCCAGAAGATGGCACCCTTGCCTCACTGTGTTGCAGTTCAGATACTAATTGATCCTGAAGCTGGTCCAGGATTTCAGCAACCCGTTTATGATAGGCCTGCTCAGTATGTACCAGTGCAATGATCCGCTGAACGGTAAGACGCTGCTGTTGAGCTTCTACAGCTAACATAGCAGATGTTGCTTCTTTTCCCAAAACTGCCATTGATGATGCGAGCTCCTGCATCTTCGTTTCAGCTACTTGCAGCTTTACGACACTATCCACACCACCTGACTCTTTCGTTCTCCGTTTGCTGACCTCACCTGCCTGAACTTCTGCTTCTTGACGTAAGCGGTCGTAACGCTGTGTCAGTTGCCTAGCGTCTTCCAAAGGTGAGCCATTGAACATTGCCCTCAAAGGCTCTGCCACTTCTGTGTTTAGGGCCAAAAGCATAGAATCCTGCTCCTTGTCCATCTGGATTTTGGCTGTACCATATTGCAAAGAGGGTTTAGAAAGAACCATGCCAATCTCAGGACCCTCAGTTCCATACTTTTTACACTCATCTGCCAGTTTGTTTGCAACTTCCAGTTGCTTGTTACCATTACTGATGATTCCTTCCACACATCTTACCACCTCTCTCTGGAAATGTTTTGCAGCCCTGGTAGACGCGTAAGCCTTCTCAAGTTGCTGGTGTCGCAGTAGCTCAACCTCATCAATGATTATGTCGCTGCCTGATGCATGCCCTCCTAACTGCTTTAGAACGGCATGTTGCTGCTTAACAACCTGGTCGCGCAACTTATTCGCGCTCTTCCTGAACCTGTCCATTTTCGGTGGTGGACCAGGGACTACGTGATCAAGAACTTCAGCCTGGCCATTGCACCTGTTCCATGTTACATAAAACCACTTAAGACTACGTTTTTCGGGGCCTTTCACAGGTATGCAGAAAGAGTGACCAAAGAAGGTTTCGAATAGACATTCTGGCTTCAAAGAACCAAGAAAGCGCATTTATGAAGGACTAGAATTTATAAACAGATAAAAGCTCTGCATCCACAATAATACAGGAGAGTAAAGGTGAATAACACTTACCAGCTCTAAAGTCTACGCATGTCAACCTTACAATCTTTTCTTCTGCAACAATCTGACATATGCACCACGAGTAGTTTCCATTACTGAGTTAGTCGTTCACAGTAAATATCAGATCAGGGAAGCTAGCGAGCAATGTGCACAGAACTAGACAACCCATCATTCTAACCACAGAACAGCGTCATATATATATATATATATATATATATATATAGATAGATAGATAGATAGATAGATAGATAAAGGACCCTTCATCAGCCTTGCAAATGCCTAGATCTGCGATGAGGCCATAAAAATTCGGCACAACTAGGGTGAAAAACGATGCATGGATCCATTGCACTGCAAGCGAACAGCACTTTTTCAGATTAAAAACAAGCAAACTAGTAGGTATTCTTCACACACACACACGAGAGCTGATGCCCATTGCATATAATAAACGGCTCCCTGCAAAAGGGAATTCCGTTCTTCTATCGTCGTAAGGCCTGTCGAAACAACCTCTTGCGGGAACAAGAAAAATAAAGTAAAAAATACCGCATTCTGCAATTAGGTCACTCGACCAGTCACGACGACGACGACTAAACTTAGTGACTAAGCACAAAAAACGATTAACTACAACTCACACCTAAGCAGGACCGACACTGACCACGAGTAGTTTCCATTACTGAGTTAGTCGTTCACAGTAAATATCAGATCAGGGAAGCTAGCGAGCAATGTGCACAGAACTAGACAACCCATCATTCTAACCACAGAACAGCGTCATATATATATATATATATATATATAGATAGATAGATAGATAGATAGATAGATAGATAGATAGATAGATAAAGGACCCTTCATCAGCCTTGCAAATGCCTAGATCTGCGATGAGGCAATAAAAATTCGGCACAACTAGGGTGAAAAACGATGCATGGATCCATTGCACTGCAAGCGAACAGCACTTTTTCAGATTAAAAACAAGCAAACTAGTAGGTATTCTTCACACACACACACGAGAGCTGATGCCCATTGCATATAATAAACGGCTCCCTGCAAAAGGGAATTCCGTTCTTCTATCGTCGTAAGGCCTGTCGAAACAACCTCTTGCGGGAACAAGAAAAATAAAGTAAAAAATACCGCATTCTGCAATTAGGTCACTCGACCAGTCACGACGACGACGACTAAACTTAGTGACTAAGCACAAAAAACGATTAACTACAACTCACACCTAAGCAGGACCGACACTGACCTAACACCGACCGCCCTATTTGCACGTTTAACGATAACAAGAGCATATTCTTGTTGTGATAATCACCAAAAGAAAGGAACAAACCTCCAGAGAAGCGGCAAAGAGAAAAAGAACGCACCGTATAAAACTTACAATGATGTTTGGAGGTGACCGGACGAGGATGCGAACGATGGCAGAGAATGATACATGCGCGTCAAACAAGGAAGTGTGCATCGGGAGGTTGCGAGGGCCAGGGTTGGCACACTCGGATACCAAGAAGGGAGACCATGGCAGGACAATGCTCGGCTATGGCGAAGCACAGGAGAAGCAGAAGCCTGGCACAAGTGTGACGTGCAGGAACTGAGATCCCAGCTACAGTGTTTCTGGTGAGACGCGGCTTTTACTTTTTGAATGCTTTTGTCTTTGTTATGAACTCCTTTACTTTTTTGTTTTCAATAATATAACAAGTTCATGGCATAATATAGCAAGTTCATAGCATAACATAACAACTCCAATACTGTTTCCGTGTTTTACAAATTCAGAAAATCTGTATCAACTTTGAAATTGTTCAAAAGTTGATAATCGTCATGATTGTTGCACTGTTGATGATTAAACTTATCATTAAAATAATTAAGATAATGAAAAATGGACAACCATTGATTAATACATGGTATTGAAAATCATTCTTCAAACTTCAAGTATTTCTATGTATATATATTTGCATGTGTGTGTGTATATATATATATATATATATATGTGTGTGTGTGTGTGTTTAAATACACACATGCATACATTAGCAATGATAAGTACAAATTATTTCTTCTAATACTAACATTCTGATTATGGTTTTAAGATAAAATATATTTCTAATATAACAATATATTATTTTAACACAGAAAAATATAGAATTAATTGAACAATGAGTTGTCAAAATACTTCAATAGTTATATAACTACATAAATCAAAAATTTCAAAACCAATCTGAAGTAGATAAATGTATCAATGAATGAAAAATGATAATCAAATTTTATGCAAGAATTTAAATTTATTAAAAAAAAAATCGAAAATTTAGTTACAACATATACGATTTTTTTTAATGTCTATACAATTATTAAAGTCATGATTGAATTATTGTACGAGTGAATGAAAACATCAGTTTGTTTTTGTTAATAAAACACAAGGTAGTTAATGAATCAATTTACAATATATCTTTACATAGATGATAACTCATAGATACATGGAAAGTAAAATATTAATGGAAACAGAATGACCAATTCATAATTTAAATTATTTTATTATACTAAATATATAATTAATCAAATTTTATAAACATTAAATATATTATATATTAAAAATTATATGGTTCATTTATATATATATATATATGGAATTTTTTTATTTGAAGATGCCCAAATAATATCAAGTATCAAAAAAAATTATCTAATTTATATAGATTAGTCATTTTGGTTGTTGATTCTTAATAATAGATTCTTTTTCAATAGGATGTAGTTGATCTAGTAATAGATGAAAATTGTATTTTATGGCATAAGTAGGCTTGTCCTAGTATAGATGCCATAGATATATCTCTAAATAGAATATAAAAATTCTCTAAAGAATGATATACTTTAAATCAAATCTTACATATATGGTTGTAGCAATTTTTTGACAACTATAATAATAGTTGTGGCTATAGGTCCAATAGTTGTTAATGATCTATTTGCTATTGGAGTATATCATGTCATAAATTTAAGCACACATGCAACCAAAGCCATTGTACTTTGTGCTATGATTTGATGTCTTTATTTTTATTTTTTGTTTTAATCTTCATTCACTTAATGACATAGTTATAGATGAGATTGATGCAACATTATGATACTATGCAAGAAATAAATACAAATCCAAAGTTTAATTTTATTTATTATTAGACACCAAAAGAAAAGAGAAGGTAGTATAGTAGAATGATTTTGATGTAATTTTAGAGGAAAATCTCAAGAAAAAAATAATAGTTGTATTGGATAAAATGTTTTTTTTTGTCATTTAAAGCTTTCAATGGCAAACCTTTCTTTAATGCAGCTAATTACTTTAAAAAAGATGGCACATATCTTAGCCACTCAAGCAAGACTTCAAAAGCCAATAAGATTAAAATTGTATCTAATATAAGTACATGAACAATATCACCTATAGGTAGTAAGAAGCAAGGCCTTTTTTTATAAATTCATGGTTCTTATAGCCATAAGAAAGCATGCCATTGATGAATTGTGCCAATTTTTATATACTAATTTTATTATTTTATATCTTATAAAATATCTACATATCAAGAAGATTTTTTCTATTATCAATATAGAGATGTTAAACAAAATGCCATTCTCTACTACCATCTTTTATATTTTCTATATCCACACTTAAAAAGAGATGATTGCATAAACTAAAAAGTGTAGACTTGTAGATATGGTTAGTAATGGTTAGAAAAAAGAGATAATGTAATAGGAAATATTATTGATTATTGTTAGCATGTTGCAAATAAATGGAGGAATTTTTTTATAAGGTGCATATAAATACATCAGTTCTTGACAAGCAAGTTGCAAAGTATTGCTTACTAGAACAGTTTAGTTTTAACATCTTAAGTAGGTAACACTCATATATGTCTTTTTCTTATAAAGTTGCATATGTTTTCTTTTTTTATTATAGTTTTATAATCCTTGTATTAAATCTTAGGATAAAACTTACAATGCACATGCTAAATCTTATAACTAATTGTGCACATCATCAAAACTGCTAGTGTTTATAAAGAAAAGGAGTGGATCAAATATTTGCTTATTAAACTAAAAAAATAGATTATTGATGGTAATATTAGGTTTGTAGATTAATTAATAGATTGATTGATGAATATTGAAGCCAATTGTGCAAAAATAAAACAACTTGAAGAGTAAATTCTTATAATCCTTACTATTAGTTTTCAAACATTTCTATTGTTCATATTGTGAAAGGACTTCGAAACTAAGAAGAATTGATCTATAGTGACAAAGACCTTGGATATTACTAATATTATATCCAATACTATTAATGACAAGAAGTCCATTAAGTTCTTAGTATAAGACATGTATAAGCAAGGATATAACAAAGTAAGCAATGAATATGTAAGTGTTGGTATGATATGCATGTTATAAGATGAGACATAAGCTTGTTGCTATTAATTGATTATACAATTTGATTAACAACTCTAAATTGCATACAAAATAAATAACTAATGGATTATTATTAATATTTTTAAATAAATAAATAATATTATAGATGGCAATGTATGTTTTTAGATAAGAAACTAAATGCCATTTGCATATATCTATGTGCATGAAACCTATGTCTTTGGAGAGCCATGTCTCTTTTTGCTTTGCCACTAAACTTTTTAAGCTTAAAAATATCTTAGCTTTTCAAAATTCTATCAAATAATTGATATTTTGAAATAAGTGGATGGATATAGTAAAGGACAATATTAACAAGGCTTATTTCAACCACTTAATAAAAACTTAAAATAGATTTTTTTAGAAGAATGTAATAGAAATAATTATATTGATACAACTTGTACTTAGTATTCTCTACTTATTAGAGACAAAAAATTTCCTCTTTAATCAAGTATTATAAGTGTGTAAGAAATTATGCAAACACTATAAGAAATGAAATATCAAATAAGACACCTAGGATAAGTGTGACAATATGCTACAAGTGATTAATAAGTGGTTTGTTTTTTTATTTTTTTTATTTTTTTGTTTTTGGTTTAAATAAAAGAATTTTATTATAAATAAAACCAATATAAAGTAGTTGGTCTAAATAAGATAAAAAATTCTAACCAACCATTGATTCAATATTTAAAATTAATAATATTAAAATTACTACTCCAATATATTGAAAAGATACTTTATTTTGTTGTATCTATATGTTTGAGTGCTAATAGATGTATTGTCCAAGCCTTGTACAAAGTATATTATTATAATCCCAATAGGTGTGAAATACCTTGCACCAGTTGTCCAAGGATTCTTTTGGAATTATTGCCAATATTTTATCCCACACAAGATGTGTGTTATCAAGCAAACCTTGCCATATCTACTTACTGGTTTTTACTAAAAGTCTAATCTGTATTGTTGAATATTCAATTGTTTCTTTTTAGCTAGATCTTCTATAGTGCTATCTTATAGAAGAGCATCTATATCATGTTAAACTTACCAAAATATTTAAATAATTTTTGTGCAAAGATTTACTAGGCCCAATTAAAATTAGAGGATATTGGAAGACTATTTGAGTTGTATTGGATGGTATGGAATAGATTGGAGCTCTATTCATAGATTTTCTATACTTGAAGGCAAGATTAAAATTTGTGAAGTACAATCTTAGTAATTTTGAGGCAAAAAGAGTCAAGATATGTCTATGGTGGAATTTTTTTTTTCTTTTAAAGTATTTATTATATTTTCTTTATGCCATTTGTTTTATATAAATATAGCTTCTTTTTTGGATCAACGTGGATATTAAATATTTTGTGAACTGACTTGTAATTTATTTATAAGCTTGTTACCCTACTTGGATAGATATATGAT